ATTTGCCTGAATACTTGGCCACGTGTGCTTTATTGATGCAGCTTGTACTGCCCTTCAGTTGACTTCGTTGTTTCGTTTCGACTTCCTTGTATGCATGTCTCGGCTTCTCGTTTCATTATCTATATAGGTCCATTTTCAGCATCTCAGTATCTATCTCATGTTTCCTTGTTAACGAGTCTCCGTTTCTCCCTCGGAAATCGATTTCCGATTCGTTTTTTCCTTTGATAGTATGTCTCTTCTGTATCTAAGGCTGGGGAATCAGGTAGCCTTAAGTCTCATCGATTTTCTTGTATCTGCATGGATAGGTTTATTATTTGTTTTTGCTAAATGTATTAGTATACATTTACCTTTTTATGATGTATGCATTAACCCTTGTTCCTTTTACTGTTATACTATATTTCTAAATAGGCGATCTTTGCTTTAATTAATTACATTCGCATTAGTTTTGATACTGTTTTTTTTATTTTCAAGCTAAGGATTTGCCATGATGGTATTCTTAGCTTCTATTCCCGAAAAATATAAGCAGTGTATAGTTAGTCAATTGAAATTCTTTTCCATTTTTAGGATTATTTATACGTTAATATACTAAGGGCTTAGCCTAGACCTTCATTTTTTAAGTATTTGTAACACCGATTTACTACCCTTGGCCAAAAATCTTTCTATTTGACATTCCCCTTAATCTTCTGCGGTCTATACCGCTCTACGTTAATTAAGCACTCTATTCTAGAAAAATAGCTCCATAGGACACATACAGATATATACTTTAAGGATAAATGACGTGTAATGTTAAAATGTTATTTTATGTCATTTACATAAACAAATTTCTAAATCGTTTACAGCTAGCTGTCTCATTTTTAATTTCAATTTACAAACAGTTTTGACTTACGAACTTGAATTGCGTAAGCTAATAAGTTTAATTACAGGCATTCTGCTCTGCCTTTGGTTAGTTTATATATATGTTGTGTTCCTAAGAAGGACGCAGACTGTCTCTTAAATATAAGAGGCTTGCCCTTTACAACTCCAAAGATGGAGGTCCCGAAAGAAGAGATAAAAGGAACAAATAATATTACCAATTTTACTACTCTATGGGGGAACTGACAATGGAAAGACAATCATTGAAAGATAGCGCCAAATAGAACATCCTAAACCCGCGGGCCACAGTGGAGCGGAGATAGGCAAAGGACGTGACCGATTTAAACAGAATTTTAGCTACTTGATATACTCTTGCGTAGTTTTTCATACCAACTCCTGATTGGACAATGCGGTGTCAAGCTTTAATCTGGCGACGCGAAATACAGAATCAAGATTAGTCACACTCTTACGTGATCTCTGCGCCATAGGATGCTGACCATGGCTACGTATGGGATGTATCAAAAACTAAACATTGAATGGGAAAATTCTGAGGGTAGGTCACTACATATATATACTTATATATATTTAGTATTTGAGACTTGACTTCTCTATTGCTGATTGAAAGCATTTTGAGGTAAGGGCTTCAAAATTAAGATTTCTTACTTTCTTCTAAGATGCCTGACTAGTAACCAAATATTTTTTTAATCTTGTGACTGGTTCTTTTTGCCTCGTCTTTGATATAGCTATAATATTTTATTTAATCGAAATTATTCGCTACGATACTTTTTTATTTCATTTCTATTTATATGCTTTTTATGTGGCATGATATATATGATTATACTTCTGGAAGATATGTTTTTAACCTTGCTTTTAATCTATGCAATTTATTGTTTTCTTTTACATAATGCAGTCAGAATTCCTCACCATCGATCTGACTGAATCGGATGATGACAGCCCCTGCCCTTCTAATCGGCATTTATCAAGAAGTAATTTTATGGGTTTTAATATCCATTTTGCTTGCTCATAAGAAATATTATAAAAACGTGCCTATTTTTGTATAACTTATATTTTATAGAGGTTGTTTGACTTTGTTTTTGCAACTTGGTCATATTGGCTGAAAGACCGGAGAACGCACATTCTCCGGAGTACATAATAAGCATGATTGTTTCCAAAGTCAGACTGTGGACTTGGTACATTCCCAGACGTTTCGCCGGCATCTCACTGAGCCTTGCAATTCTTTGCACCACCATACAACTCGTCAAAGAAACAAATGAAGTCGATCGTTTGATAAAATATGTGTTAAAAAGTTGTGGTATTTTCCCTGTCCTGGGCTATTTACCTATCCTATATCCTCGTATTCTCTTCAATATAACAATTTTTACTTGTTTATCTATACTTATTTGAAGCATATTCACACTCCCCACTGGTTTCTACATTCCACCCACTATACCATAGGTTGTGATGTAGGGTTGTGGTTTAATCCTCAATCCTATCGCTTTGGGCCATATCCAGAGTCCGTTCTTGCTCCGTAGGATCCTTTCGTTATTGCTTGTTTCATTGATTTCATTCAATCGCTGACATCGCTGCACAGGCCGCACAGCGATAAGGGAATCTGCAGCGTCAAATAAGGTTACCATTTCAAATGAGAATCCAGACTTTAGAGGCTTGAGCAGTATATCAAACTGTCGAACAACGCCTTGAGTATCACGGATACGGTGGCAGCGATGGAGTAAAATCACTGAAACAGGCAGATAGGTGAAGGATCTTATGAAGCAAGAGGGGATTCTGATAGGAATACAAGAGAAAGAATTGTATATTAAACCACAGCCTTAAATCAACACTCGGCACAGTTAGAGGGATGAGTAAACCAGCGGCCTTGTGAATAGATAAGCAAGTAAGGAATTGTGATATTAAAGGGGTGATACGAGGGTGTATGGGAAGTGAATAGATCTACACATGATACATCCCATAACCGTTTAGCACACGTTTGGTCAAAGGATCCACTTAATTTGTTTTCTTGATGAGTTGTAGTGTGGTGCTAAGAATGGCAAGGCTAAATGGCGATGCCGGCGAAACGTCTGGGAATGCACCAAGTCTTCAGTTCGACTCTGAAAAGGATCATGTATATTATGGAATCCTAAAAAGGTGTGTTACTCTAGGTCATCCTGCCAATATGATAAGGTACGATAGCAAGGTCAAACAACTTCTATACAACGAAAGAAGACCGCGACTATGCAAAAGGCCAAATGTCTTCGATTACATTTTATAGTTTTTGGACTTTTGCCACTAGACAATTTTTTTTCCGCCACTGAAAAATAGGCTATTTAAGGATTATTATTGAACGTAAGGTTTGGATAATATTATCGAATTCTAATTCCTCATTATTGCTCCGTCTATACAGATCTTTTTCTTCACCTCCTTTATCATAAGGCGTAATCGAATTATCCGATGACGAGTTGCTACCATATTCTCATTCTGAGACATTTGCCGGAGTCCGGCGACCCGGGTCAGGCCTGGCTACCCGATCTGGATCTGGTGGCCATGCCACAATACATTCTGAGTCTGGAGACTCAGATTATTATTCCGTTTCTAACCAGAGGTCAAACAACAAGCGGTCCATGAGGTTTTCCCAGTCAAGCGGACACCAGCAGCCTCAAACACTCCATAATCAAGCCAATACTGCTCAATCACAGGAATATCCCTTTTGCCCTGTTGTCATACAAGGTGGTCAATCCCAACCACCCTCTACTCATTCGCACCAACACCCCGCAAGTCGAACGAGTGGCAATCTATCTTCATCCTCGTCTGGTACTATCGCTCCATACGGTACTCGATCCTCCACTAGACGTACTCGCGAGGCTTTCGATCCGAGCATTGCCTGTTTCAATTCCTGCCAGTCATGCCAATCATCTAATGAGCCGCGTTCTGCCTCTGACGCTTCTATTCCTGCTACTGCTTATACTTCTGCTCCATATATAGCTCATTTAGGCGCAGATACAGATTCTGTTTCTGGTGAGTATCTAAATGAGCAAGTTTCCTATTCAAATTACGTGGAACTATCACATTTGGGGGACTGCATGCAAGATATTAGGCGATAAAAACGTCGTAGGCTTGGAATTAGGGAGAGAAGAAGGAAAGAAGCGGTGGTGAATATTTCTAGTTAGGTATTAGTAGATAAGTATGCTCATAGACATGGCCTATTAAGTAGAGGATTTATCACGAGATTTACTCGGTGCACATGTCGCACAGCGATAATGGAATCTGCAGCGTCAAGTTAAGTTGTCATGCCAATTAAGAATGCAGACTTTAGGGGCTTGCTCAGTGAGGATGATGTATACGTGTTATTTAAGACTTGAGTTAGAGCGTAGAATATAACGCCTTGAGAAGCACGGCTACGGTGGCAACATTAGAGTGAAATTATTGAAACATACAGATAAAGGAAGGATCATACGAGGCAAGACGTAGGCTCTCATAGGGCCCAAAGGGAGAAGATTGTGGATTAAACCACATATTTAGTTCAACACTTCCGTCACAGTGGGAATGATAAGGAAATCAACGGGGAGTGTGAATCGATTTAAAATAGGTCTAGATAAACAAGTAAGAAATTGTGATATTAAAGGGGTGGAATGAGGATATAAGATAGGGGAGTAGCCCAGGACGGGAGAGGTATCACAGCTGTTTAGAATAAAAATGGCCAAATGATGGACTTCACTTGTCTCTGACGAATTGTAGTGCGGTGCTAAGAATGACAAGGCTCACTGACGATGTCGGCAAAACGTCTGGGAATGTACCAGGTCTACGATCCTACTCTGGAAATGATCATGCATACTATTGACTCTGAACAAAGTGAGTTCCTCTAGATCTTCTTGCCAATATGGCAAAGTTGCGAAAACATGGTCAAACAACCCCTATTGCATCAATGGAGATTGTGATCATACAAAACGCCACACCATCTTTGTTTTCATACTTTCGATTAAATTTCGTTTGTTGACAAAAGCATTTTGTACCACTATTTAGATAAGACATCGTTTTAGATATGATCAGTGTGGAAGTGTGAACGGGCCTTTATAAATTTGATAAATAGGGTATTTATCAATCAAGTTTAGATAGACAAGTAAGAAATTGTGATATGAGGATATAAGGTAGGTGAATATACCAGGGCAGAGATATACCACAACTGTTTAGCATACACTTCGTCAGACTCGATTTACCTTGTCTCTGATGGGTTGTAATATGGTGCTTACAATGATAAGGCTTGTTGACGTCGCTGGTTACAATCCTGTAAAAGCATCTGGGAATGTATTAAGTTCACGGTCCGACTGTGGAACTTATCATGCGTACTATGGACTTCAGATAAGTTGCGTATCTCTAGGCCTCTTTGCCAATATGACCAAGTTACGAAAACAAAGGCAAACAGCCACTATACAAAGAAAGTTGATAGCGATCCTACACCATCTTGGTCTTCATACCTTTGATTCGTTTTAGTTGTTAAGATCAATTTGTATTTTTATGGCAGATTTCTAAGGATGCCTACAATGTTTAAGAGTTTCTATTCAAAACACGAATTGATTTTTTGTTATCTCCGTCAATTTTGGGAAAAGTATATCATTAGATATGCGAACATTTTTTATCTAGTATAGAGGGAGGCTAAATTGTAGGAAATGTGCTTATGTAAGGTGACATCGCGTCAAGGAATAGGTTTAGTTCAGTGATAGGACTGGCGCTACTTAAAATGTTGGGTAAACGTCATAGTTTACCCAGTCAACTTAACAATACTGGAAAAAATCTGAACAACTATTTTCGTGAGTAGGTTTTCGAGTCCACTAGTATAACTGTTATATGAGTTGTGTTCACCGTATTTCTAGTCCTTCATCACCTTAAACGAAATAGGGTAAACACAACACATCTGATTTACTGATAGTCTCGAAAATATACTCACGAAAAGTAATGTCGTCGATTGATATAACAAATATAATTTTGCTTCATCGACAATCCCAACGTAAAATCTGATATGGTAAAGGCTTGAGATTCCTTGAATTTCACATCTGTCCTGTGATCCAAAATAACTCGTGGTGATATTGCTTGATGGCTAACATGTCGGGCTTACACGCTGCATTTTCATGGTTCGAATCCCGCTTGGAGTGTTAATAAGACCTGTGCAAGGTCGGCTTTGCAGTTTCACCTTGAATGAGAATAA